GGAGCAGAAAGCCTCATCTTTGTCCCACGGAACAGCTGGTAGTTTCAAACTGCTGACCGTGAGATTAGCAGCCCGATTTGTAACCACTACACTACCAGAGCTCCTCTAGTACATTACCTGGCTTTAGAAAATTCTCAGTAAATTCTTACTTATTTTTAAAACTTTTGATTGTGAATTGAGTGAAGGTTTGTAGACAAGATCATCAGTCTTACATTCAGCAAATCCTGCACTTTGTTTCATCTCAGTGATTATAATCCCCTCCCTGCAACAACGTTTATCCCACTTCCTCCCTGTGCTTCCTGTTTCCATTCCACCCTCCTTCCCAGCCCTTCTCACCTTTGTCCTTAGGGAAATGTTGCCCCTTGCTTTTGAATGATTGACATTCCACCACTGATCGTGAGCATACCTGATTAGTGTTCACCATATGGAGTGCCAACACTAGTCAGGTATGCTCACCATCAGTATTTTCCCCTTCAGTTAATATTTATGGAATCACTAAAAAGGAGCCAAAAATATTTAAGAGGTATTCTTTTCATATGCCCAAACCTGAAACCTGATAAAAAAATTTTGAGGGCTGAAGATTTGACTCCCTGCTTTTCTAGTAGGGATCTCACGCTCCAGTCATGCTCTTCCTTCTTAATGGTCCTGGGTTCATCTGTTCCTGAGAAGAAGGATGAACTATTCCCTCTTTCTAGTTGCACCTCTTCTACAATTAGCATTGTGACAATCACAATTAATCCTGCTAACAATTACAGTTGAATCATAGAATCATATTAGTGTCATCACCCATCCGCTTCCACCAGATCCATCTGGAGAAGAGGAAAACTACTTAGTGGGGGTTCTGCCTTACCCCCTTCATTTTGAAACAAAGAGCACTCATGAAAGGTTGTAAGCCAGCCTCTTCAAGCCTAATAACCCCTACATTTTCTGTAGTCAATGTCTAAATTGCCCGTCCCTATTAATCCAGTGCGTTGAGGAATAAACTTGTTCCTTGAAGAATCCATTCATTCCAGTTGGTATTTTGAGCAACTGCATCCAGTTCATTAAATTGTAGCAATTTCCGCTTGCTCACAGTATCAAACATCTTTATCTTCATCTGGTCAAGTTCTGGTCAGCTAGCCATCCGAGCTAGATCAAATGGGTTCTTGTTGACGATAAGTGCCATTGAGTTGGTTCTGACTCACTACGAACCCTGTATAGGATTTTCAAGGAGTGCCTGATGAGCTTGAAGTCCAGAGCATTAACCCGCAGCACCACGTCAAGACTCTAGTCAAATGAGTATTAGCGGCAAGATTGGGAGTTCACACACACTTTCCTGCACTGCAGACCAGCTTGCTGCTTCACTCCTAGCCCTAGTCCCCAGGGGCCAGAAATCATGTGCTTTTGTTGTGCTTGCTTTACTGTGTTAGTGGGGAGAGGAGAGAATAGAGCTGTTGCTGTGTTCACTGAATTCAAAAAGAAAATCTCTTTTAGAACGGAAGTGAGTTTAGCCTCACGCAGAGAGCAAAAGCGTGAACAGTACCGTCAGGTCAAGGCACATGTACAGAAGGAAGATGGCAGAGTGCAGGCTTTTGGCTGGAGTCTGCCTCAGAAGTACAAACAGGTAACATGTTTAATGGTAAGAGTGTCTTATGGGAAATAAGTAGAGACGCTTAGGCGTGGGGGCAACTAAGTATACATTTCAAACCTGCTCATCTCGCACCCTTGCCACAGTAGAGAGATTTTCAGACTGTTTTCTAGATTCCTAGAGCTCAGATGAACTGCCTGTGTCTGTAAGGGTGGGGGGAAGTCAAGAGGAGGTAGCTGAGTGGATGGCACTTGAGGTGCCCTGCTCTGCTTTTACCAGAACAAGGACGAAACAACAAAAAAAGGCAAGATTTTGCTTTTTTAAAAATAGCATCTGCTGTTACAAGTTGGGTTTGTTTGTTTTTTTAAATATTGGCTTGGAGCCTTTACGATTGTTTATTACCTAAGGAATTGAGGAACTTTACCTGTCCTGTACCCCCCACGAGTATGTACATACACACATGCCCCCTCCCCCCACACACATATTAGTGTTTATTTTCTGAGCTCCTCTCTAATAATTGCCACTTAATTTTTCTGCTTATTTTTCAAAAAAGAATGGCAAAACCAACTTGAACTTGATCTCAAGCAATAAATATCTAGCCATATTACTTGCCTGTGTTTTAATGGTTCTGGGAGAAGTTTGTTTTTTAGGGGTTTTACCAATGTCTTTTTCTCTCTTCTCTTCCTGACCTTGTTTAACAGGTAACTAATGGTCAAGGGGAAAATAAGATGAAAAATTTACCTGTGCCTGTCTATCTCAGACCATTAGATGAAAAAGATACATCTATGAAAGTAAGTTAAATTTAGTTAAAAGAGGAGTTTTCTTGAATCTAGGCAGATTTTTTTTTTCTAAAATGATACAGAAAGTTGAAATACTACTTATGTGGATGAGCTTATTGTTCATTTTGTAGTTTTAGACATGGGATACTTTGAATATTGTTGTTAAGTGCCATCGAGTTGGTTCCAACCCATAGTGACCTTGTATACGGTTTCCGAGGAGTGGCTGGTGAGCTTGAACCACCAATCTTGCGATTCAAACCAACTTTGCAGTCCAGCGCACTAATCCACAGCACCACACCAGAACTTTTGAATATTAAAGACCTATATTTACAACCACAAGAGTCCTCGTGGCACAGTGGTTATAAGCTTTGTTGCTAGCCAAAAGGTTGGCAGTTCAGACCTACCAGCCGCTCTCCTGAAAATAATGTGGAATCTGCTACTGTCAAGATTTATAGCCTTGGAAATTCTGTGGGGTTGTTCTGCTTGGTCTGATAGGATCACCGTGAGTTGGAATCGACTCAACAGCAACCTGGTTTCAATATACAACCATTGGAAAAATGTGCAAAGGTCTAAACATCTGTAGAGTGGAAGTGACTTGCTACTTTATTTTTGTCCCAAAAGTTATGGTGTGCTGTTGGCGTCAATTTGTCTGGAGGGAAGACCAGAGATGGTGGGTCTGTTGTTGGAGCAAGTGTGTTTTACAAGGATGTCACTGCTTTGGATTCCGAAGGAAGTAAACAGCGAAGTGCATCTCAGAGTAGTTTGGATAAGTTAGATCAGGAGCTTAAGGTGAGTGCAGGCACTGATATTGTACTTTCTTGTGTCTTTGGTCCATAACTTACTTCTGGGTACAACTTCTATTTGGGATTGCTATGCTTTGCTCACCCTTCACCCTTGTGACCAATTTGATGAAGTTTACATACAGTACAGTGTACGCTTAAAGTGGATGCAGCTCAGAGTATTGACAAATGTATGCAACTGTGAACCACCACTACACCCAAGACAGAGATCATCTCCATCACTGCTCTGCTTTAACTGCGTTTTCAGTCTACTCATTATTGAAAGATGCTTGTGTCTTTGCCCTCCCAAATCATCTGAAAATAAAATTGAAATCTTATTTCTTTTTAATGAAATGACACAATCTTATGAATAATTATACCTATATATGTATTTGTTTAAGCATTCACTTTCCTTACTTTACCTGCACAGGAACAGCAAAAGGAGTTAAAAAATCAAGAAGAATTATCTAGTCTAGTCTGGATTTGTACCAGCACTCATTCAGCTACAAAAGTTATCATCATTGATGCTATTCAGCCAGGCAACATCCTAGACAGCTTCACTGTTTGCAACTCTCACGTTCTGTGTATTGCAAGTGTACCAGGTAAGAATGAGCCATGCCCTTCTCTGCCCACCTTCCACACCTTCCTGGCAGGAACCAGTTTGGTGCTGGACATACAGCTGTGTACCTTGCTCTAATGGAGTTTATGCTCTAGTTGGATAAGACCAAAGGTAAATTAGAAACAAATGGCTAAATGTATTCACACATGGTGACAAATAGTGTGAAGAGAAGAAGGCACTGACTCATTAGAGGATAAGATGACTGAGGAGGGCAAGGGCTATTCTGATTGATTAATGATGTGAGACCTCTCTTCGGCCTTCCGTAGTTCTGGATTAAATGTTATAGGATGTTAAAACATTACTTTAAAAAGTAAAGAGGTTTGGGGAAGAAAGAGTCCTCACTGAATAGTTTTCAACTTGTGTAGATGGGTCTGGTGAAAAGAGATGGGGATAAAATTCAATAGTTGAGTAATTGTTATCATGACTAATTACGACTATCACAATTGTAAAGATAGAAGTTTTGTAACAAAGAAGGGGGAGTAGTTAATCTTACAGTCCAGAAACGAAGGACCCTAGGATCATCAAGGGAGCCAAGCACAAGCAGAATGTGAGACTTTATCCAGGGAAACAGCGACACCAGAGATAGAGGCAGAGGTGGGGACATGGAGCGAGGAAACAGCTGAGGACTCTAGATTCATGGGAAGAGAGGGACTAAGAGCTGGTGGCTGGCAGGTAGACTTGCAGAATGCGCCCTTTGGTGGTGTAAATTATTATATATGCCTGAGTGTTTTAAAAAACAACAACAACAACAAAAAGCTAAAGTGAATAGAGAGAAATACTGTTAACTGATGATGGTACATGGAGGGGACTATAATCATTGTAATGAAACAAGGTGTATGATTTGTTGAATGTAAAACTGATGATCTGCCCTGTAAACTTTCACTCAATTCACAATAAAAACTTAAGAAAAAAAAAAGTAAAGAAGTTTATCTTCACATTGTAAGTGCTTGCTTCATTTTTAAAACCCTTATTAATATTTTAAGGCATTGTGTATTTATACCTGGGGTCATTCACTGTTTAGTAGATAAAACTATATTACCTGTTTTAAATAGTAATCTTGATAATTAAAAAAAATTTGTTTAATGACTTCTTGTCAGATGTAATTAAATTTCATTGTGTTTAATCTCATTGTGTGGCTGTGAAGAACTCATACTGAACGCAGTTTCTGACATTTTCATGTTGGTTAGTGTGCACTTGCATTGCTAGTGTTGTTAAATGCCGTCGAATCTATTCCAACTTATAGAGACCCATATAAGGTTTCCAAGTAGCAGCTGGTGAGTTTGCGGTTCACAATCCAGTGCTGATCTTACAGCGCCACGCCAGGAGTCCTACATTAATAGTAGTGGTATCTTAATTTTGTAAAGCTACTTTTCCATTCTGCGAGGGTTAGTGTAAGTAAAACTTAATTACTGCCCCCTTGGCAGTAGGTTCAGTAGCTATCTATCTGTCTCACCTGTGCACTCTCACTTTAGACTCTTAATTATTTTTATGGATAAAATGCTGTATTTATCTGTAGATTAAAAGAAGATGTGTCTTTTTCTTCAGGAGCACGAGAAACAGACTATCCTGCAGGTGAAGAGATTTCAGAGTCTAGTCAGGTAGACAAAGCATCTCTATGTGGAAGCATGACCAGCAATAGCTCAGCAGAAACAGCCAGCGTGTTGGGAGGGATCACAGTGGTTGGTTGTTCCACAGAGGCTGTAACAGGAGCTACTGTTTCACCCACTACCAACGGTGCTTCTCCAGTGACGGAAAACCCACCAGGTACAATTGTTCTCCTTTTATGTCTTCTGTGTAGAGGCTGAGGCTATCCCAGATGCCTTACTGTTAGCTGATTTTAGATCTCCCATTAATGAGGATGTAAGAACTTGAAAGAAAATGCTGTAATGGCTGTTAAATAAAATCAAGAGTTCTCCTTGTCATGATACAGTGTGGAGGGAGGAGAGTTAGATGGAGGAAGAATGTAGATGGAATGGAATTCTATAGCAGGGCTTTGTAAAGTGGGGGAAACTACTGGAGGAGAAAAGCTGAAGCTCAGAATAGTTAGCATGTTTTACTTATTTTGTAGAAATGGAAACAGAAAATAGCGAGGTTGATGAAAATGTTCCAACAGCAGAAGAAGCAACTGAAGCCACAGAAGGCAACGCAGGGTCAGCTGAAGACACCGTGGACATCTCCCAAACTGGCGTGTATACAGAGCATGTCTTTACAGATCCTTTGGGAGTTCAAATCCCAGAAGACCTCTCCCCAGTGTATCAGTCAAGGTATACAAATGGGTCAAGAATTTAGGAAATCAGATAGTCCACACATAAAAGAGGAACCAAAGTCGTCTGAAGCAGTGAGAAAGCTCCCATGACTTGGGACTTTGCTGTGGCAGATGTGAAGACACTGCCTCTCCCAGCTTTGCCTTTATTTCCTCTCCTTCATTCTCCATTGCTTTTCTGTCCCTTCCAGATTAAAAAGTACATTAGTGGGGGAGGGAGGAGTGTAGGGGGAGGGTTTCTAGGATATACCATTTGGTCAGTTGATGATGCATGGAGGGGATTGGAACCATGGCAATGAAATGATATACAATGGAATGAATGTAAAAGTAAAGTTCTCTCATGTAAACTATCGTATAATTCTCATAAAACATTAAAAAATAAATAAGTAAATAAAAATTTTAAAAAGTACATTAGTCAGAGTCTTCCTGGACATTGCGTCCTCTGGTATGATGCGTTTCAGTTATTAGAGTCCCCTCTTCCATTCTCTGAAGAAATTTAGTCCCCACTCCCACCCTTACTTCCACACTAATTGTGAAATTGCCCATGAACTTGACTGACATTCTAAATTTTGTTTTCATGCAAACATTTTATTAGAAAATGGTTTGTTTTAGGCTCTTCCTTTAATGGAGGCCCATTTAATGAGTTATTTAATTTTCCTTCCTGATTTCTCTAAACCAATGGAAAGCTCTTTTTTCAGTGTAATTTTCTCCTTTTTAGTTTATACATGAGTCAAAAATTTGGTAACATTTAATTGTTAATTTCAGAATAAAGCAATGTTAGATTAGTAGTTTGGTTTGTCTGTTTTGAATTTAGAGCCCAGTGTATCTTTTTTACCAAATATGCACTAAGAGTCCTAAGGCAGGCATGAGGGCTTGGGGTAAAACATAAAGCTGTTTCAGTTCATTAATAAACATACTTTAGGAAATGCTTTATTTTTCAAGTAAACCAGTCTCTTCTCCATAAACCACCCAGTAAAATTCAGGCACCTCTTGGGGAGAGTCACAGTTATAGTGTGGGTATTAACGTCTGTATTTCATTACCATGCCCAACTCCCTTCCCTGTTCCTTAACCTAGCATGTTCACAGTGAAACCTGTGAGAACTGGAACTTAATGGACTGCCTTGCTTTCCGCCTCTGACAGGGTGCAGTCTTACCACTTTTCCTTCGCTTACTTTAGTGGAAAGTATTTTAGCCTTCCTTCTGATAGGTTTCTGGTAGAATTAATAGTGAGTGTTTAACTATGACCTTTCTGAAATTATTTTTAGCATTTGACTATTTTTTAACTCTACTAAAACATAGAAACATTTACTCCCTAAAAATTGTATCTAAGCATACTCATATTTTTTTCTTTTGCTAGTAATGACTCAGATGTGTATAAAGATCAAATATCAGTATTGCCAAATGAACAAGACCTGGTGCGAGAAGAAGCCCAGAAAATGAGTAGCCTTTTACCAACCATGTGGCTTGGGGCTCAGAACGGCTGGTAAGTGTGAATACTTTTAGTATGAGAACATCTTTAGTCTTTGACATTTGCATTTGAAATCAGAAAATAAATAAAGTGTGGTGCATACAAATATAAAGTACACATTTTGTTATTGTTAGCTGCCATCGAGTCAGTAAGAAATTTCAAGGTTATGTTGCAACTGCCTCGTGAACTGGGACTTGTATTGCTTCTGAATGATAAACCAGATGTTTCTTTGCCATAGAATGTTCCTTTTATATACCGTTGTCATAAGAGGAAGTAAATGAAACTTTAAGAGCTGTGCGATTCAACAAGAGAGGATCTTGAACAGCACAGAGAAAGAGAATTGTTGATGCAAAGATTTATATAGGCTAGAGTATAGGCAAGAAATACCAAGAGTTGAACCAGTGTATATGGCTGCAGAAGGCCCAGTTCCAAACATAACTTTTAGTAGGTTGTTAGGTAAGTCAGAACAAAACCCCAAACCAAACCCAGTGTCAAGTCAGTTCAGGCTCCTTGTAAACACTCGAGGACAGAGTGGAACTGCCACCTAGACGTTCGATTCGAAAAGCTGTAACCTTTGTGGTAGAAGACTGACACATCTTTCTGCCATGGAGTGGGCTAGTGGGTTCGAGCTGCCAACATTACAGTTAGCAGTGCTTTAAATGCCGCACCACCAGGGTTCCTCAGGAAGCTCAGGGGATGGAGTACCGTTGCATAGTTTGTTAACTTTCTAGTGGGTTGTTGGTGGTTGTGTGCCACTGAGTCGCTTCTGACTCGTAACGACCTTGTATAGGGTTTCCAAGGAGTGGCTGGTGGATTTGAACTACCGACCTTGTGGTTCACACCTACCTTGCAGTCGAGTTCTTGTCCTCAAGCACCACACTTCTGACACTAGTTCCAGCTTTTCATCTATATATGTTTGCATTTTCGGAGGCAGCGTGTTTCTGTGCCTCAGGCCTACTCCTAATCTCAATTTGGGTTTCTGACCATTGTCCAAAAAGCACCAGCTCTTTTTCCTAAAGTTTGTATGTTAGTCTTCTTTCCTTCTGAGTGAACTCTGTGATCAGTATTAGATAGGAACAATGACTTGAATGTTCTCTGTGCTTACCAATCTCAACTTGGTTCTTGCAGTCTGTATGTCCATTCATCTGTAGCCCAGTGGAGGAAATGTCTCCATTCCATCAAGCTTAAAGATTCGATTCTCAGTATTGTGTAAGTTTTATTTTAGAAATTCTTGTTTTTAAAATACATATTTGACATAAATTAATTTTGAAGACTATTAAAGCTAATATGTACTTCTTAATTGAATAGTATCAAGGTATTCTTAGCCCTTCTTATGAACTAGCGAAGTCTGAATCAGAATGAAACTCTATAAGTCAAGCGTCAAAGAGAAAAGTTTTAATAGGAGAGAAAATTGCCAGATTAATTTCATCATCAGACGGGGAGTCTTAGTTTTCAAGAGAAAACAACTATCTATTTATTTATATTTGTTTAGGGAGTAGTCTTTATGTTTTGGGAATATACTTCTTGAATTTTGGATATTGATGTACTAATAATCATTTTCTATACATTGACTATTAAGAGTCAGTTTGTCAGTATCGTCCACAGAGCTGACTTTTTATGAGAGTGAGCCAAATATTATTCGCACTCCAATTGTATTAAAAAATGCCCATCCGTGCCCACGGCTGATGACCACATTGTGCATACAAGTGAAATGATTCTGTCGAATAGACAAGTGACAGAGGATTATGTGACAAGTTATTTGCAGGTTAGTCATAGCTCTGCCTATGAAATAATCCACTACTGACTTGAGTTTCGAAAAGTTTGTGTGAGATGGGCACCGAAACAACTCACAGAAGAAATACACAGAAGTATTTGGACATCTGCAAACAAAATTTGCACCGATACTTGAAGGAAGGTAAAAGTTTCTTTAAAAAAATCATTACTGGTGATGAGACATGGATTCATCGCTACGAACCTGAGAGTGAAGAGCAGAGTATGGAATGGAAACATCCTTAATCGCCGACCAAGAAAAAGTTCAAAAGTCAGCCACCAGCTGGAAAATTAAGGCTTCCAGTTTCCTGGAGCTCTCAAGGACCATATTAGAACACTGTCAGGAGAAGGTTCAACCATCAGTAGTGCTTGTTACAGTGAGATACTCACTGAAGAGCTGAAGCCTGACTTACCATTAAATGCTATCCAAGGGCATTGTGATCTTGCGTGACGATGCACATCCACATACCTCTGCTCACACTGTTGACAGACACTCTGCAAAAACTTCGTTTTGAAGTGTTAAAGCATCCTCCTTATGAGTCCTGACGTTGCTCCATCAGACTTTCACCTATTTGGTCCCCTGAAAGCAGCTCTTCAAGGACGAAGACTCATCTCTAATAAAGAAATGAAAACTGCATTTGTGACTCACAACTCAGCCTAAAACATTTTTAAATAAGGGAATATAAAAGTTTGTTGACGGTTAGACAAAATATATTGAAAAGCCAGGAGATTAGGTTGGAAAATGATGTATTTGTCTTTTCTGAAAGTTGATTAAAATAAATTCTACAGCCAGAGTGCGGATAATTTTTGATGCACCCTCATAGTTCCACTTGTGGTGTGCGTCTGGTCTGTGGACTTTGTGTCAGTCATCTGTGGATAGAGGAGAACTTAGACCAGACATACTATTTATGTAGCTTCGGTGACAGTCCTATCGTGGCAAGACTTCTCAGCTCTTCATGGATTGGCACTTGTGAGAGGCTCTGGATTTGTTCAGGGCCATAGTCTGAATTCCTGAATGGAGGCTATCGAGATCCCTTGTTCTTTTTTGCAGACACGTGAAAGGAATTGTGTTGGTGGCACTAGCTGATGGCACCCTTGCAATCTTTCACCGAGGGGTCGGTGAGTGGTCACAAATAGCTAATGCTACTAACTTGTTGCTTTGAAAAAGCACTTTCGAGCAGATTGATTTATTATGTTTTAAAGAAATAATACTTACTAGGAGAAAGAATAGAAGTTTCAGCTGACTATTTACACGAATGACATTAGTAAATGCCTGCCTGGAGACTTGCAGTAACAGTCTAGCTTGGTAGAAAAGACTCGCCGTAGTAAGTCCGTTTCCATTTCATGGTATTCTCATATAATGTGATACAGAGGCATTTATTTTTGTCGGTGAGGTGTTTTGTTTTGTTTCTTTTTTCAAATAAATAGTCTCTCGCACTTGCATTTGGAAGAAATTTTAAATATTAGCTGAGGTTTTATAGTTTACATGTCCCCTTGTTTATGTTCTTCCCTTTTAAAACCAGTATGTCTGCCATCCACAGATGAAGAGGTACTGGATTCAGAAAACCTGCCCTAACTGAATTAAATTAAGATAATTTGGAATATATAGCCTTGTAATTTTTTGGTACGTGATGTATCAACTAAAAACAAGACTTCGTTTTCTATATACTAGAGTAGTAAATCAGAGAAACATTGTAAAAACATTGTTGTTAGGTGCCATCAAGTCGGTACCAACTCATTGCGATCTTATGCACAGCAGAACGAAACACTGCCTGATCCTGGGCCAACCTCACTACTATAAAAACATAGATAACACTGAATTAGGATTTTAGCAATACTTTTCAGAAAGCCTGAGATCCTCTTGGCTTAGAGAAGTGTGGGGTAGATGGTACTCGGGTGATTGGTACTGAGAACTTTCTGGTTTTTTAATAGAACGTTCCATTTCACTATGTGCTGAGGCACAGAACTTTCTCGTCACTTGTTCACAGTCACTCAGCTAGTAAGTGGAGGAGCCCAGGTAGAATGGAGGTATGAATGGTAGTCACAGACAGAATAAGGCAGAGTGCCTGTGACCAGGAAAACTGGCAAGTCCTGCATTTGGATTTACAAGGTCAAGATGGGGGAGACATAGCTAAATAGTGAGGATTACCTAAAGACTGACTTCTGGCTCAGTCTGAGTTAGTGAGCGTCTTAAGCCTCCTAGAAACATAGAGACAGTTCTGCTCTATTCTGATAGATAGGTAGATAGATAGATAGATAGATAGATGGATAGATAGATAGATAGATAGATAGATAGATAGATAGATAGATAGATAGATAGATGACAGATAGATAGATGACAGATAGATAGATAGATGACAGATAGATAGATAGATGATCGATAGATAGATGATCATAGATAGATAGATGATCAATAGATAGATGATCGATCGATGATAGATAGATAGATAGATAGATAGATGATAGCTAGATAGATGATAGATAGATAGATAGATGATAGATAGATAGATAAATAGATAGATAGATAGATAGCATACGAAATGACTTCCGACAAAGTGGATAGGGATAAAAGGTCTATAAAGTGTTATGTCCAAGACACATGCCATGATGCTTAGCTTTGAAAAAAGAAGACGTAAGGCTGTACCAGAAAAGTGTAGAATTGAATGTGTTCTCTGTATTAGCAGAGATCAAAACTATAGACCAAAGAATTAATTACATATAGAGAGGCAGACTTTACCTAGGGATGGAGAATATTGGTTAGACAATTACAGTTGTCTAAAAATGGAGTCCTGATGTGGTGCTGTGGGCTAATGCATCAGACTGCAAAGTCGTTTGAACTGCAAGGTCAGTGGTTCAAGCTCACCAGCTGCTCCTTGGAAACCCTGTACAGGGTCGCTATGGGTCAGAATCGACTCAGCGGCACTTAACAACAACAACAAAAATAGAGCAGCTGCTTTTCACTAAAATTGTTCAAGCAAAATTAATAAAGCAAAGCAGGCTTCGAATGATTGGTGTTCATTTGTTTTTCTTTCATCACTAAAAATAAAGTACACGTGATTCCTGAAGTGTTAGCAATGAGTTGCCCTCAACTTCTACCCAAGGAATTACACCAGAATGCAAGTGAATAAGATAAATTATCCCCAAAATTACCTTGTTGTTTACTGTCGTCGAGTCAGCTCTGACTCATAGCAAACCTGTGTTAGGTTTCTGAGGAGCAGCTGGTGGGTTTGAACTGCCAACCTTGTAGTTAACAGTCCAGGACTTAACCTGCAGCGCCCCAGTGGGACTCCTTGTAAGAGTACTACTGTAAACAGATGTGCTGTTGAGAGTTTGTTGTAAAGGAGGGTGGAATCTTAAGTACTAGGTGGTGAATTGAATCAGATACTCTCCAAAGTTTGCCGTTATGGAGTAAGAACCCAGTCTCTGCAAATAAAAGATATACTTAGTACATAGTTTAGTACTTTATAAGTAAACACACTCAAACAGAATGTTTCTTGTGTCGTACTTGAGTCAAAGATTGTATGTACTAACTAATACTATTTCTTATTTTAAAGATGGGCAGTGGGATTTGTCAAACTACCACCTGTTAGACCTTGGGCGGCCTCACCATTCCATCCGCTGCATGACTGTGGTACACGACAAAGTCTGGTGTGGCTATCGGAACAAAATCTACGTGGTCCAGCCAAAGGCCATGAAAATAGAGGCAAGTCAGCTCATGCTTTCTATGTTGGTGAGACTTGAGCACTGAAAGGCTCAAATGGTTTTCAGGGTCTTCAGAAATTGTTTCCTGATTCTGTTTTAGGGTACCCCTAGCGATATATTTGGACCACATCGTAGCTTCACCTCTCTCTGTTAAGCCAGAAAGGTGGAGAAAAGTGGCTCTTTTTAAAAAGAGGAAGGAGGCTGCCATGTGAATACAAATGTATGTCCATGTACACAAATCATACGTGTGTTATGTGAATACATGGTTTTTAATATGTTTAATTATATATTCATTGGTTGGGTGGAGGATTCCCATGTTTCCCTTCATATCATGTGTATCCAGGCAAATCCATACATATGTCACAGACTGAGAAAAACATTGCAGTGGGAATTTGTTGTAAAAACAAAAACCTCTTGGTATTACTTTGTTTAAAAAACTTTTGCTGCGAGCTCGTACATGAATTCATTCTAATTGTTGTTGTTGTTTAAAAAGAGAAGCAACAGACTCCCTGCCAGAAATGTTTAAGGTGAAAGCTTTCCTTCTCCTCCCACTTCAAATCCGTTTTCTTTCCGAAGTTTTCCTGTTTTACAGTTCTCTTCTTTCTTTACATACAAACACACACACACAGTTAAGAGAACAAATGTAGGCTCCTTTTTGTGTAATTAGAAATAGGTTCCTACTTCGTGTATTGCTCTGAAACAGTACAGAGTTCTGAAGTCAAAATCTGTCTAACTCTTGGATAATGTTGCATAGTATCGATGTGCCAGTATTGATTTCATAAATTGATATCCTGAACAGGGCTGAAGTTCAACATCCTTTGGTTCTTTGCTCTTCATTTCGTTTTGCATTCTAGGATGAAAGCAATTGTATGTATAAAAGTAATCATAAATAGTAAACAGCATTTAAACACCTCTTTTAATATACTTTTCACTAATACATGGTCTGCTAAATTATTGTATAAATGAGCACCATTTTAAACACACCCTTAAGTAACAAACGTAACTTTGTGATTGAATAATCTTTCCTAGAAATCATTCGATGCACATCCCAGGAAGGAGAGCCAAGTACGGCAGCTGGCATGGGTGGGTGACGGTGTGTGGGTCTCTATTCGGCTGGATTCCACACTCCGTCTCTATCACGCACACACTTATCAACACCTACAGGATGTGGACATTGAGCCTTATGTAAGCAAAATGTTAGGTAAGCTTCCAAAGTGCTTTGTTTTTGCCAACCAAAGGGAATGTTTTAAATGGTCTGCAATGGCTGGGTAGAATCAGTGGATGAGTGTGAACTCTTGGGTGGTTGGGCAGATGCTCCATCTACCCTGTAATTTTGGGCAGAAACCTGGAGTCCTTTTTCACTCCACTCTGATGCCCATCTAATCCATCACCAGGAACTATCACATCTACCTCCAAAATATCTTAATTACTTGGTTATCTTACTGCTGTAACCATAGTAGCTGCTACAAGAAGGTCAGCAGTTCAGACCTACTAGCCACTCCATGGGAAAAGGATGAGGCTGTGTGTTCCCATAGTCATTTACGGAAACCCTTGGTGGGTGGGTGTGCCGGGGGGAGCAGCTCTACTCTGTCCTATAGGATCGCTACGAGTCGGAATGGACTTGAGGACAGTGGGCTTAGATTCTTGGCTATCAGGCTAGGCCAGGCCACTGTCCATTTCCCCCTGGATAAACATGCATCTGCTAGCTGAGCTCCCTTTTTCTGCTCTGGTCCATTCTCTGCAGACTAAGCCATGTGCAGATAGCACCTTGCGTCTCTCCCACTCTTGGCTGCTAGGTGAGATTCACATTTGGTCCCTCAGCCAGACATTACATGCCTTCTCCCCTTGCTCTTGTACTGGTCCACCCACAGCTGAGCCAGTTCCTGTCTTCTCAGGGCTCTCAGGGCGCTGTACTGTCTGCTTCCAGGCTACTACCTATACACCACCTCCAGGAGGGACCTTCCCTGAGCTCCAAGTTGGATTTAGGTTCTCTCATACTTTTTCTTTATAGGCTATTATACAATTCTTAGTTAATGACAACCCCCCACACAGACCTTAAGGCCCATGAAGGGCAGGGAGCAACTCTGACTTGCTCCCTGCTGGGTCTGCAGCACCTCCTCCAGTACCACAGATGACTAGGAGTGTCTCTTTCATGAAGAGAGATTGAACTGAGTCATTGGTTTTTTAACCTTTTTAGGGCCATTGTCCTCAGAGGGCCTGCGGATAGCCCTGGGTCCTCTCTTTAGAAGCAGGCCTACTTAAGGAGCACGCTCGGACCTTAGGAAGAGATTTCTAGACTAGACTGAGTGAGTTGAGGCTCCTCCTAATGCTGAGATTTTGCAGTCATGCCCTCAGTTCTGGTAACTAGAACCTCGGAGTGACTAATGCTGTCTGGTGAAATATAGTATCTGTGTAATCATTTTGTTCTCAAATTTTAGAAAATAAGATAAGATATTAAAATTCCGTTTAAAGACAAAAATGTATCCGTACTCTCAAAATTTTATGTGTTTGTTGTTAAGTGCCGTAGAGTTGATTTCAACTCATAGCAACTGGTAGGTTTGAATCTCCGACCTTGTGGTTAAGAGCCATCAAGTTGGTTCTGACTCATAGCGATCCTGTATAGGGTTTCTGAGGAGTGGCAAGTGGATTTGAACTTCTGACCTTGTACTTCTAACTGACCTTGTGGTCCAGTTCTTAGGACCTCCACACCAGGACTCCTGTTGTTGTTGTTAAGTGCTGTCACGTCGGTTCTGATTGATAGCAACTTGTACAGGGTTTTCAAAGCTGTAAAAGGCTCATCTTTCTCCTGCAGCGTGACTGGTGGTTGGCAGTGCAGTGATTGTCTTCTAGAGCCACCACCTTCCTAGGACTCCTACAGTACCCTAAAAGGTCCACAACTGCTTTAGTACTTAAGTATCTAAATAAGGAAAGAAAATTTAGCAAAGATTGTTTTTATCTGTACGAAGAAATGTAATGCAGATCAGTACTCTTTCAGCTTATGAAACCAAAGGACATTTGATTTCCTAATCTAACAAACGTGTGTGTGTGTGTGTGTGTGTGTGTGTGTGTGTGGATTTTTTGTTTGGTTTGGTTTTATTTTTAGTAGCTCCCTAAATAAGTCCTGTGTCGTATTTCCTGTACCCTGCTCCTGATAGTATATTACCAACCCCTTCCAGAATTTTCTTTTTCTACTAACCAAGTCATCAATAGATAATAAAGCCAAATAAAAATTTGCTTTGATGTGCATCTTCAGAAAACAGCCAACCAACTCAGATCACATTTCCTTTCCGTTGTATTTATTCAGCCACCTGAGGGACTAGGAACCCTAAATATTCTCTACTGTTGTTCTCAGCACAGTGTTCTTTTTTCTCCTTCTGTTTAGGTACTGGGAAACTGGGCTTCTCTTTTGTGAGGATCACAGCTCTTATGGTGTCTTGCAATCGTTTGTGGGTGGGGACTGGAAATGGTGTCATTATCTCCATCCCTTTGACAGAAAGTAAGTATATTTTTAGATAAGCATCACAGTGCAAACAAGAGAATGGTAGGGAATAGTCATGTCCAGAATTCAGAAAGGAGAATTGTTTAGGCATTGGCAAATTGATATTAACTCCCAAAATCAAACCAACAGTAGATATCTAAGTACCTCCTTCCCAACTCTTGCTGTGAAACATACCAGGAGGCTTCTATCTATAAATTCGTGAAAAAATTAAATGAAAAAATAATGGAATTTTTCCACAGACTTTTTGAATGTCCTTTGTATAAATTCTAGGAGAATAACATTTCCATGTGATAGGACCAATATTCACAATTAGAAGGTTTTCACTGTGAGAGACTCTCCCTTTTTCTCAGTTCTGGAATCAGTCGTGTCTCACTGAAATAAAGGTCAAAGTCCATTCTTCTTTCAGCTTTATTTCTGGAATGTTGGATACACCTGACATTCATCCTGGTTTTCCACATCTTCTGGCAGGCAGTTTATGATATTCTGTTTGACTTATTTAAGATTTAGAATATAAAATTGTGGGAGAAGTTTCTCAGGAGGTTCGTCAGCAAGCCTTTCCTTGTGCAGGAGACCAGCCCACTATGGTTGTGATCTCTTGGAGAAGAGTATGATTTACTTTCTCTGGGAACAAAATGTTCATTGTATGTTTCTCTTATTAAATCGATCATCTATTAACTAAGTATTTTTGTATTGCAAAATTCATGGTTGGGATGGTTTGAGAACAAGTTAATAAGTTAATAAACACACACCTCATGATCTCCCTGCCTTGTTTCAGGGGATGGGGAAGAGAAGGATTGAAAGATCTTATCAGCAGGGAGCCTTTAAAGCGCTCAGGTTCTTAATACCAGCTGTCTTTTCTGTGATTATTTATAAGTCTGCATGTTCCAACCACTTCTTATATCCTATGAGACCCAAGGGTCCCCAGAGTTCATGTCAGTGTTTTATAAGAAAGAGTGTCCTTTTAGCATACTTATTTGAACAGGATTTCATAAAGAAAACAAAAAAGGGGGATAGTAGCATGTAACAAATGTCCCACATTATGTTCTTAGTGTTTTGATTCAGATTCATTAAAATTCAATGGTTTTACAATTAAGAACACCAAAGTCACAGTTAATGAAAGTATCTTTTTTTGAGCAGAGATATTGGGTAGAGGCTTTGGTCCGACCTTTATTTATGTTGGACTTGGTGCTCTCCCAAGTTGGACTTTGCTAATTCAGTTAGGAGCATCAAGTTGTCAGACAGACGAAGGGGAGTGGTGGCTCATGGTTGCTCTCCTCCCTGTCTTGCGCCTCTCCATGCCCCTCTCCTCCTCTCTCATTCAGCCGTAATCCTCCACCAGGGACGTTTACTGGGGCTGAGGGGTAAGTGCAGACTCTGAACCCAACTCTTCTTCCTGGCTTCTTGTAGCCACTGTGAGGCTGTTCCCACTTCTACAATACCTTCTTGAATGTTCCTAAATGTCATCCACTTGCAGTCACTGCATTGCAGCAGGGTTTTTTTATTTTTATTTTGTTTTAATATTTGTTACATGGCCACCAAACTGCTCAGCAGCTTAGTCTATTTATTATCTTTTGTTGCAGCTGAACTTTCCTTCGGACTTTTCCTTCCAATAAAAACATGAAACATTTCTGAAAACTGTCATTAATCTACATTGTTTACTCTTGTTACAGATCATGTTTCTTTCATTCACTTACTGGCCCATGGAATGGGGATGTTTTGTGAGTCTGGTTTACAGTTCAGCAAACCATCAGTCTGGTGTCACTAAAAGCTACTCTATGTAGTGACTGATTTCTCTCAGCGCAACATTTTCTACCCCTCTCAAGAGAGCTATTATCAACATACTCCATTGCCATCGAGTTGATTCCAATTTATAGTTACTCTGTAAGACAGCAGAGCTGCCCCATAGGGTTTCCAAGACTGCAGTCTTTCCTGGAGCAGACTGCCTCATCTTTCTCCCGTGGAGTTGCTAGTGTATTCGAACGACTGACCTTTACGTTATTTGTAGCCGAGCACCTAGCTACTGCACCAGCAGAGGAGAAAAATCCAAAGTCAGAATCAACTCAGTGGCAACCAATAACAACAATCACAAACGATGAAGAAAGATTTTGTTTAAAAATATATATACCCTCATATACTTTGAACTATGACAAAATAGGGATAAAAGCAAAACAAAACAGATTAAGTCTGTTTTCTTTTGTTAACTAAAACGATTTTTAAAAACTGCAAAGATGTGTTTAAAACATAAACTTAGTTATTGCTAGACTGGCAAAATCCCCAACTCCATTTACTGAGGTACTTAAAATAACTAGCATGCTGTATCTTTTTTTCCAGCTTTGTCTTGAATTGGCATTGCTGCCCTTATTTTATTTTATCTCAACTGCCTGTAGCTTTTAGATAATACCTTAAGGATTAACCAGTAACCCCTTATGTCATCACTGTTTTCTAGGGGAAAATATTGGTATTTTTGGTTTTTCTGTTGCAGCGAATAAAACCTCAGGAGCACCAGGCAGTCGCCCTGGAAGTGTAATCCGTGTGTACGGTGATGAGAACAGTGATAAAGTGACTCCAGGGACATTTATTCCCTACTGCTCAATGGCGCATGCCCAGCTCTGCTTCCACGGGCACCGGGATGCCGTGAAGTTCTTTGTGGCGGTCCCTGGTGAGTTTGAGAAGTTCCCTGCAATTGACTCTGTTCTTGGTTCCACTACACAATTAACTAGTCTGTGCTGAGTACTGAAATGACAGGCAATTCCAGTGTAATACATGAAGCAAGTCCTGTAGTGGAGGTATGAAGAGAGTGTGCTAAAGGGAATGGATGTTATTTTGAAGGAAGTGACTTTGGATCCTCTCCCCTAGTCCTTGGTTTTTATTTAAAAGACTTGCTTACTTTTAAAAGCAATGTTGCCATTTTGTCACAGCAAAGTACCTAAAATTGTCTTGTCCTGATGAAGGAAATTGGTAGAAGGAAGCCCAGGTCATGCAGGAAGAGTTGGGAACTGTGCTCTGACCCCTTCGCAGTGCTGTGGGAAAGCACAGTGGCCTGGGAACCTGGTGTCTGAGCCTTTCTCTCTTCCTCACTCCCTATTGTCTTGAACAAATCATTAACCTTTGCAGTTCCTTTCCCTGGTTTCCTAAGTGGATGCCACTAACTGCTCCACCTGCCTCATTTGTGGTGGACACAAATGAAGACCACAGGGCACTCTCCAGAGGTAAGTGGTAGTGGAGATTTCACTGCCCATGGAAGCAGGACCCGTGTATCAGGAGTAGTTAGAAGAGTTCAGGTCTGCCTCTGTTACTCTAGCTATTTGCATGCCTTTGAACACGGTGGTATCTCAGTTTCCCAAAAGTGTTCCAGAGATTCAATGATTCAGTATATATAGCACAGAGCCTGGCAAAGATAGCACCCTAACCTTAAGCCTGTGTGCACGATCCTTAACAATGTGGTAAAGGAGCTTCCTGATGCTTGTCTTGTCTAGCTGTACAGTTGTTTCCACAGGATAAATTCCTACAGGTGGAATCTTTCTTTCTCTCTCTCTCCCTCCCCCCCCTTCTTTCCTTCTTTCTTTCTTTGCCTTTTTAAAGAAATAAAATGCCACAGAAGCCTTTTTATAGCTCTCATCTCTCTTATTCCATCCCCTTTTTTCTCTCCATTGGTAGCTATTATCCTGATAACGTATCTTCCTGCCCATGTTTGTATATTTTTTTTACCTTTCATTTCATCCATAAACAGCATATAGTACTTTCTGGTTTCAAGCTTTACTTAAATGTTCTTGTGTAGCATATATATTCTGCTTATCATTTTTATTAGCTTTTATAAATGAATGTCCAGCTCAGTCATTTACCCTTGGTACTCTGCTGTCTGCATACATAGTCTACGTTGTATTCCTTCTGTCCATGGTGCTCTAGGCTGCCCCCATGTACACACTGCACAGGCAGTATTGCACGGAACCCTCTTGTGCGTATGTGCAGGCCTGCTAGAGATAGCTTCTCTTCGTAGCCTCATTACTTCTGTCACACAAGGAGCGCACAGTGACACAATCGTGAGGCCAGCCTGAATGGTTTAATCCTTCTGGCCATTGGCCTCACAGCAAACAACACTGTTGCCAGTGTCTTTCTAGGTGTATACTCAGCAGGCTTGATTTATTAAGAGTTTAGTTGAAGAACGTATGAAGTACTATGGGGATGAATCAAATGGTGCTTTCTACATAGATTACTTTTTATTAAGTATATTGGATCACATCACTATCCTGCTATATATCACCTAGAGGCATGATCTATGTAGTTTGACCAAAGGAGGGCAAATTCTGGCAACAAACAGTAAATCTCTATAGTCAAAGCTCTGGAAATGGGATTCTTTAAAGATTGTTGCTGTTGTTCAGTGCCATTGAGTCAGTTCCAACTCAGAGCAACCCCGTATAGGGTTTCTGAGGAGCGGCTGGTGGGTTTGAACCACCAACCTTGCAGTTCAAACTGACCTTGTGGTCCAGTGCTTATCCAACAGCACCACACCAGGACTCAAGTACATTTTATAGTACCAATGGTGTTTCCGTTTCTCTTTCAACCTTTTCTACCGTAGAACTTAAACTTTACAGCAAATGGTAACTCATCAGTAATTTTATTTACACAAACTAAATTAAAAATAAAATGTACTTTTATTAAAATATGAGAGGAAAGCCATTGATTTGAAATAAATTTAAGTATTATCAATATCTACACTCCTAAGGCTTAAGTTGAAGCCTTTTCTCAGTCTCTTGCACAAATCTGCACAGACTCTGTTGGGAAGAGTAGTTCTTCAGCTCAGACGACGTTTATTGCAGTAGTTCTGAAGCAGGCAGCCAGGACCAGCCTCCTCATATACACATCTGTATCTCCACTGGATTTTGGGACCTATTCCTGCTTGGGTACAAAATTGCTATACCGAGATTTTCAAATTGGCCTCTAAGGACCCCTCATGTAGATGTTATCTGATCATTCAAAGACTTGTAACAGCCCCACTACTTTGGTTGTACTGTATAAAAGATTCTGAAATATTATGTATCATATATAATATTCACTTCTCTTCCTCAATAAAATAGGTCAAGTCATCAACCCCCAGAGTGGCAGTAGTGGCACTGATGTTGCAGCTGACAAAGCCGGGCCAGCCGCACAGGAGCCTGGCACTCAGACACCCTTGAAGTCTATGCTGGTCATCAGTGGAGGAGAGGGCTACATAGACTTCCGCATGGGTGAGTCCTTGGCTCTGGGAGATGCCCTGGAAGCCTGTGCGGGTCTTCAGTGGAGTGGGGCTATACTGACTTCTACAGGGTGAGGCCTTGACTCTGGGAGCTCAGGTCCCAGTGTATTACCCACGGTAAACAAGTAGCTACTTTGATGGCTGACTTCTAAAAAGGATTGCTTTATATTATTTGCATGAAAAGGGACTTTGTATTTCTTTTGATAAGACAATGTATTTGTTTGCCAAAGCATTAGAAAATAGCAGGGTACAGTCATGAGTTAGTTACAGGGCTAAGTGAATGAGTTTAAGGGTTAGTGTCTGAAGGCCATGGACAAATCTCTCAACCTCTCAGAGCCGCAGTTTCTTCAGCTGCAAAACAGAGAGAATAAAGTGGTGGTTTGCATCACAATTGCTTTAATTTTCTATTTCCTATCTTACCAACATTAGTTGAATGTCCACTGTGTGAGTAGCAACATTAAGTTTGAAATACTGAGACAAAATCAACAAAACTTCCTCCAGTAGATAATGGAGCAGTGCAGCAATCCGGACACGTCTATACATTGAAGCATGGTAATTATGGGGAATAGTCAGTTCTTCTCAGGGGTAGAGAGATAATGTGTGAAGTGAGTTAGCACTGAATGCTGTTGTTAAATGCTGTCAAGTCAGTTTTGATTCATAGGGGCCTATTGTTTGGTGGGTTTGAACCGCTGACCTTGTGGTTATCCTACAGTGCCACACCAGGACTCCTCAACACTGAATGTGGTGGTGGTGGTAGTGTACCATGGAGTCGGTTCTGACTCATGGCGGCACTGCATAGGGGTTTCCGAGGCTGTAAATCTTTACAGGAGCAGAAAGCCTTAACTTTGTCCCACAGAACGGCTGGTAGTTTGAACTGCTGACCTTGAGGTTAGTAGCCCAACTTGTAACCACTACGCTACCAGAGCTCCTTCTGTAACACAGAATAGGTTAGTAAAAAGGATTGGGTTGGGGAATGGGATGAAAAGGGCTAGGGACTGGCATTCCAAGGTGAGAGGATAGCTTGACCAAAGGCTTAGTTAAATGTAAAACTATCTTAGCTGAACAAAAATGATTTTTAAATGACTGGAACTTGGGATAGTAGAAGGTACAAATCTGACCAGAGATAAATCTATAAAGGAGTTCCAGTGTGGTGCAGTAGGATAAGCCTGGGCTACTAACCAGAATGTTGGCAGTTCAAACCCACCAGCTGCAACTTGGAAACCTTATAGGGGCTTGCTTTGAGTTGGAATCACCTCGACAGCGCTTAACAACAGATCAGTAAAGGGAGGGAGGGGCTGGGTTATGGAAGGTCTTCTATACCAGGTTAAGCAGTTTGCACTTTATCCTTATTTAAGCGCAGAGCAATATGATTGGATTTGTGTGGAACAAGGACAGGAGGTGCAGAGCAGAGATGGGAGATTCTGAAAGGGGAGATGAGTACCTGAGTTAGATGGTGGGACTAAGATAAGAAACATGGTGGGGAACTAGTAACAGGTGTGGAGAAAGAGGGAGGGGCTAGGGTGACTCCCCAGTTCTGGGTGACCATTCACCCTGAGACAAGGACTACCAGAACAGATGGGCAGACCTATAGGGAGGGAAAGGAATTCAGCCTCGGCCATGTGGATGATAAAGCACACGGGTGTTATTTAGATGGAAGATCATCATTAGACTTTTGGGTATTCAGGCTATTGTTCTTTTTATCTCAGAGGGTGGGGCTTGGAGGGTTGTCTAGCATGCAGTGTTCACCCAAGGAGAATATGTAGTGGCTAAAAGAGGAGGTGCTAGGATAGAACTCTGAATTCATGCTCCACTGAAAGGATCACCAGAATTTATGAAGGGATCTGAAAAGGGAAGACTAGAGAGGCACCAAGAAAATAGAACTGATTCTCGTACAGTGCTTTGTAAACTGTAAAGCAATGTGCAGATATAAATTGCTTTGCTATAAATAAGGGATTTTAGGATTACCTGAAATCCCAGTAATTTTTTAAGTTCCTAAACCTAATGCACTAACTTTTTCGAAAATAGAATAATGCTGTAAGAAAAGAGTTGTTGTTTTGTTGTTAGGTGTCGTCAAGTCGGTTCTGACTCATGGCGACCCTGTGCCCAACATAACCCAACATAACACAGCACTCCTCGGTCCTGCACCGTCCTCAGAGTTGCTGTTACGTTTGAGCCCATTGTTGCTGCTGCCACTCTGTCAATTCATCTTGTTGGGGGTCTTCCACTTCACCAAGCATGATATCTTCCTCCAGGGACTGGTCCCTCTTCACAGCGTGTCCAGCGTGTAAACATGTTGCCATCCTGGCTGCACTCCTTCTAAGATAGATTTCTTTGTTCTTCTAGCAGTCCATGGTACTTTAATTATTCTTGGCCAACACCATAATTCAAGTGTACTGATTCTTCTATGGTCTTCTAATTCATTGTTTAACTTTCACATGCATGTGAGTTGATTGAAAATACCATAGTTTGGGTCAGGCTCACATTAGTCTTCAAAGTGACATCTTTACTCTTAAATGCTTTAAAGAGTCTTTTGTAGCAGATTTGTCTAATGCCATACATAGCGTAGTGATTACGAATCGGGCTGTTAATCTCACAGTCAGAAGTTTGAAACTCCGTGGGAGAAAGGTGAGGCTTTCTGCTCCTGAACAGATTTACAGCCTCAGAAACCCTTGGCAGGGTTGCTATGAGCCGGCACCGACTCCGTGGCACATAACAACAGCAAACATACATGATTTGATTTCTTGACTGTTGCTTCCATGAGTGTTTATTGTGGGCTCATGCAAAATGAAGTTTTTACAACTTCAGACTTTGCTCAGTGTATCATAATGCTATTTATTGGTCCAGAAAAGAGTATTGAGTTTAAATCTAGGGTCACATAAATGACAGTTTGCCTTGGATGATTAGCTTAAAGTAATGTATCTGATATAAAGAGCTTAATGACACATTTAAAAAGTAGGTGTTAATATTTTGTTTAAATTAATTTTGTTGGTATCAGCAAATATGGAATTACTTCACTGTGTCTTAAGTAATTATTGGTACAGAATTCCTGTATAGAAAGAAATTCTAGAGACTCCATTTGGCAGGAGTGATTTTTAGAGCTTTGTCTTGGAAAGCAGTGTGGCACTTGGAACCATAATAAGGAATATGCTGATAAAATCTCTGTGGTTTTTTTTTTTCATTTCCACTAAAAAATTCCTTCCACTGTGATCCTAAAAGCAGCACAAAATTGCTGAACCAATTTAGGCAGTGTCTCAAGTCAATCCAACCTGAAAAACAGACCCTTCTTTTAAGTACTGGCTAATTTTCATAGTGAATATGCTTTTGTTTTTAATTGTGTTTAGTCCCTTTTTCATTACTTTAATTTTTTAGCAGAGAGAAATTGATCCATATAGTCCCATATTTTTCATGGTTTAACTGAAGTCTTGGGATATAGAGAGCACCCTAGAAGCAAGATAATTTTTTATAAATAGAATCTTCCAAACAAAACAACCCAAAGAACAAATGCAAACAACCTTTTGATTCACCCAAATAATTTGTCATTAATATTGTAATACAAGTATATTCAAATTTAGGAGCCACACTATGTGTTTACATTCTAACCACCTAATTATAATTCAGTTCAGAAACTAGCTTTTGTCCTGAGCCTTTGAAAGCATGCACCCTCCTTTCCACAGTTTGAGACTGATGTGAAAAGACCACTGGGGTAGACCAAGGGAGAGTTTGGATTTCAGAGAAAAAAGCATATATTTAGGGTTTGGACTTTGTTTCCCTTCTATCACTATTTCTAGTCAACAGTATCAGAGTTTGCTTTTGTCCAGCTGAAACTGAGTTGGGGCATAGTACATCACTCAGGAGACCAGCAGCAGCTGTTTGTCTCTTGGTGTACAGGTTTTTAGGATTCTGCAGAAGAATCCCTCCCACAATCGAGTTGTCACTGGATTGTGCCCGAATAACCCAACACAGCAACAGCAAAACAAATGGATGCAAGTTTGTGGAGAGGATCAGGGGACCTTAGAAGCCAGTGTCTTTGATCAAGACCCTCTATTAAACTCAAAAAACCATCTAGCCTGTCTGCACCACACCTTGTGAATTCATAACCAGTCCTAACACCTCGTATAGAAGGTGATGAGTTTGCCACCCTGTGCAACAGGGAAACAGTTTCCAATTATGACAGTACTGTCATAAGTTAGTTGTGACATAAGTCTAATGCCTCTTTTTAGTTTGTTTTCATTATTATAAATCTTTATAAATCTTATCTTTGAACACCTGAGAATGGTACCATCAGCAAATTATGTGCTGTCAAGTCGGTTTTGACCCATAGCGACCCTGTACAGGATTTCCAAGACTCATTCTTTATGGGAGCAGAAAGCCTCATGTTCCTCTTGAGGTGCGGCTGGTAGATTCAAACTGCTGACCTTTGGGTTAGCAGCCCAATGTGTAATCCACTATGCTACAGGGCTCCTTATGAACATGTGTAGTACATATTACTAAAAATAGATGTACAAAAACAAACTGAACAAATAAGCTTCAGTGCAATTCATCGGAACTCAAATATGTCCTAAGTCAAAGTCAGAAAATGACTATTTGAAATATAAATTTTCAGTAAACACATTCTCTACAACGGCAATCAGAGAAGTTAGTTCTGTGCATCCCCTTCGTGGAATGCCCATGAGCACTCGGCCTGATTCGCGTCTCCTGTGTTTCCCTGACGCCACCTAATGTGAGTCTCTGTCATCCTGCAGGTGATGAAGGTGGAGACTCAGAACTTCTCGGCGAGGACCTTCCACTGGAACCCTCTGTCGTCAAAGCAGAAAGGAGTCACTTGATAGTGTGGCAAGTGATGTGCGGCAGTGAGTGAACCCATGAGAGACCAGGGACTGTGGGACACCGCCGCCTCTTCTGCATGGTTTACTTTTCCTTTCCCCCTTTATTTCATGCTCTTTCTGTGAAATAAGTTTCACCACAAAATGTGTGAGCATTTTCTTCCTGTTAACTTTTATGACAAAATCTGTCCTAACATACCAATACAAGAGCTCGCTGTCCCACTGCACCAGTGTTATTGGCACTTCAGTGTATTAGGAACAAATCAAAGGGCGTGTACTTTCTGCAAACTGGTGAACTGCAGAAAGCAGTCCAGATGTGGTTTACTTGGCCACAGTCTAATGTCACCTGACTTCGTTTGATGGGGCTACTGTTTAGCTGTCACTAATAATGGAATTAATGGAAAACACTTGAGAAATTAAACTGTACCACTAAGTACAATAGCAAAGGTTTCCCCAGTGTATTATGAAATGAACACAAGTTAATACCAGCTGGGTTATCAGGATTTCTCGAAATGTCTTGAGAGCTAAAAGCTAACTACAAATGACTTTACCTCTCACTTTCAAATCTGAAAAAAAAAATCTTGTTTATATGGTATATAAAATTTTGTTTTCATCACATTTTGGGGGGTTTATATTAAAGAAATTAATTAAGAAATTAAGACTACACTATTTACATAAAAGTTTTGTGTTTCCGACTTACCGGCACTCTAAAGTCTATGAGGCCTGCTTCTCTGAATATACTGAAGTGTTTAGGGGAGACTAGTCTCATTTTCATACTGACCTGCCTGGAAAGAACATCTCTAGCAGAGAGAGCCTTTTTAAAAAGCAAACTGTGTTTCGTACACCTCTGACCAGAGCACGGAGGTGGTTGGCTGAGTTTTTCCCAAGTCCAGATTGCCCTGTTTACCAGTTGCTGCGGGACTGCTCTGACCTGCTGCTAAGATTAGAGCTGTAGTGGGGGTGTAGTCCAACCTGAGGGGCGTGGTAAGAAAAGGCATGTGGTCTGTTCTGGGTAAAAACTATGGACCAGCTAGGGCTCAGTATTTTGTATGTCATTAACACATTGAAGCTTTTGCACCCTTGTGAGATAAAAATGCCATCTTCAAAGGAGAAAACCATGTAACGGATAAGAACAAAAAAATTGACATTACATCTTTTTACTCACAATGCCCATTTTAAAAAACAGAATCTAGTTTTAACTGACTTTCTTGTTTCATGTTTTAAAAACACAATGCTGCAGTTTTTCCCCTATCAAGCTTTTAATGTATGATTTGCCATTCTTAACATTACTTTAAGCAAAGATAAATATTAACTTAAGTGCTATTTTTTAAATATAAATCTATAAAATAGATTGCCCTCCCAAACGGGAGCTCTGGTTAAGCACTAACTAGGCTACTAACCGAAAACCTTGACGGTTCAAACCCACCAGCTGTGCTCTGTGGGAGAAAGCTGCGGCAGTCTGTTTCCATAAGGATTGCAGCCTTGGAAACCGTACGGAGCGATTCTGCTGTGTCCTGTCAGGTTGCTATGAGACAGAATTGACTCACCAAGCAGTGGGTTTATTTGGTTTCCTCTCCCAGTCATCAGAAAGATGCCTTCTAAAAGAAAGAAAGAAAACACAAATCTCGGATTGCCTAAGCAGTCTTAAGTACCAGGGATTTTTTTTCTGAATCACCATGCAAAGATATTTGTAAAAAGTACATGAGTGACCTTTATCCACATACATGTTTAGGCTAGAATTATAAACACATCAGATTTAATGAGCCGGAGGAGGAAGACTTTGGTTACCTTTGGCCACATGTGCCTATAAGCACATTGTGTATACAATAAAATTGTGGCCACTTGAAATGATTAGAAGAAAAAAATCTTTTGATAAAAGCTATGTAAAAAGAATAAGTTTTTGCTTGACCTACTTAGCCATTTTTCTTCAGGGCACCAAAACTTAGTCTACTTCTCCATAGCCTGTGTGCTGTATTTTTATTTTAAATCAGAGACATTTTTGGCAGTACCTTAAAGAGCATTATTAAACATTTATAGGAAATGTTGCATAGAGAGAGACATCAAAATGTGTAGGAATCTTCGTCCCCAAAAGTAAACATTCCCAAGTCAGACCCACTTAACGGCTGTTTTCCCTCTTACAAGTTTGTGTAACTGAATGTAATTTAGGAAATCAGGAGTTAAAGATGAAAATGCAAACATGTTTCAGTGGTTCTAATTGCTTTTTTTAAACTTACTGGCTTTCATTTCAGGGACATAAGTGTATAGTTACCTCACCTGACGACGTCAGTTTATCTGTGGCCCTGCTAAATCATTTCAGGGACCAGAGAGAGGATTAAAACACCTGTACAATTTCAACAGCTTTATTTGTGTTTGTCATTTCAATGAAATATTTTCCTCATATTTATTCACTCCTCCCTGCCAAGAAAAGATTCATATCCTTGGCATTATTCACCCCGGTCAAGGTGGAAATAACAAAATGTGAGCTTTTGCTAGCAGCAGAGGGAGGTGTAAGCTCCAGAGAAGCTGGCGTCCCCCGGGCTGGTGTCTCAGTGTAAAGACATTTACTTTTCTAGGAAGGTGAAAGGGACACCCAAGGCTCGTTACCCTTGGGTATGTATGAGGCTGAGCCATTTGAAATTGCCAATATCTGACCATTGCTGAGGTACAAAATTGGCAACACCATAAGGCTGCTCAATGTAGGTTCACGTCCCTGTGAGGTAACATGGAGAATATTTTCTACAAACGCCATTTTGAGAGTGTTGTCTCTCACTCTTGTGGATCTAAATTTTTAAAATAGGAACAAATCTCTTGATAGTTACAGCTTGTTGGGAGTATAATCCATTTTGAGCACAAAATATGCAGCACATAACTTTTTCAGATTAAGTGTGTTTGCATAGGAAAGGTTAAAGTGCAGTCTCTCAAGCTACTGTGCTGTTCATTTCTTGTAAAGGTCTTCCTGTATTTGAGACTAGACCCTTTAACGTAGGCTGCCTTAGTAACAAAACACAACACAGAAAAAAGGTCTCCGAATATTAACTATTCTAAAGAGCGTGTGTCTTGCAAATGTTGTGGAACTGAATATTTATTTCCTTGTAAGTATTATGACGGTTACCAAAGGATCCAACCAGATTAGGGCTCTTCTTAATTGATCATGTTGAGAAAGGGACTCATTTGGTTCCAGTTTGTAACATGGGAGAAGAGTAGGCGAGAGAATTAAATGTGGAAATCATAAATGCTTTTCTAACAGGGTTATGCTGTATTGTAACACTAAATGTCTTTTTTCTTTCTCTTCAAATAATTAAGTTTTTATTATTAATTTTGTCAAAAATTTCTTAGTATTTGAATATATTTTAACCATTTATGTTCTTAATCTGTTTTTTGTCCTAGACATTTTTTTATCCCAAATTTTACTTGCCTCTTTAATCTGGAAAATGGGTACTAGTGTCCCACTTGCGGCCTATTAGAGGCTGAGGCTTCATTTCTATGAGCAAAAAGCTCATTTAGCAATGTAGTTATTTCAGTATTTATTTCTATTATGGAATCCCTGGGGTTCGGAATGTAACTTTGTACATGAAATATATATAAATATGTATATGAAACCTGTATGAGATTGAGTGTGCTTTGTTTTGTTTTTGCCTTTTTATGTTGGGGGGGGCCAACTTGGATCTTTTGAAAGTCAAATAATCTCCCCCGTCATTCATGTCACTTCCGAGGGTCAGGACTGTCACCATTGGACACTGACTAAAGACGAGCCGTGGGGAATATTCATAATGAACATGTCTGCTCGACTCACGTGCTCGAATGAGACAATTGGGCTTTCTAGAAATGTAGAAACTCTGAGTCACAATCCACACACGACACTAAGGCATACCATTGGCCAAATTCCTCAGTAATTCCTCAGCAGGCAGGTTGTAATGTAGGGTTAATAATATGGTGTGCTTCTTTGGGATCTACTCAGAAAGACAGGATGGTTATAAACCGAATCATATGGTAGCGCACTGTGAATCGTGAGTCAGTGTGGTGGTATTTCTGCTAATCTGGTGCATACTGTTTCCATCTACACAGTGGTAAAAGTAGACCTGACTGGCATGTTAATAGAACAGCTTACTAGTGGAGGGCCCAGTCAGCTGCTTGGTGAGGTAGGTACTCTAGAATATAATTCATACCTGATTCATTCCTAGACTTTACAGGACCTCACCCTAATTGCCCCTCATCTTCTGGGGCCTCTGGCCAAGTCATTGTTTTGGAAACGGGATTAATTGTTTTGCGCCTCATTCAGTCATCTTCCTGATCTAACTTGTCTCTGCTGAGAGGTAAGAATAGCAGTGGAGGACATTCATTTTCATTTTGTGTGGGAACAGGGTAGGAGTGTTCTCAAAACTGGAACAGTAGCCTGCAATCTCCAAGCCTCCTAGCTTCCAAACCTTAGTGAAGCAATATTGTTGAAGCCCCTAGCTCTCCCTGAACCAGCCTCAGGCCTCTGTATTCGGTGTAGGCACAAAAGCCATGGATGCCATCTTTAACAACTGCCAGTGTGTTAGGAAAGCTCTATCAAGGTCTTATGGTTAGGGGACTTCTCAGAATGCCTTAAATATCAGATAATTAATACAAATTAATTTTAAATTACAAAAGTTAGAAACCAAAAGGACTGGCTGCTGGAAAATAAAGGCCTTGGTGATAGAAATGGTGCCGGAGATTGCATGATAGAATTTTGGGTGACCTAGTCCTCTAAAAGGCTTTTTCCCAGCAACATGAACAGTGGCTATACATGTGGACTTCATTGAATGAAATACACAGGAATCAATACACAAAAATTGACAACATCTGTGGAAAGAGAAAATGGAGAGGCTTAATATCGTCAGTCAAAATAATGCCAGGGATGGACCACAGACCATCAGTTACTCATGTTCAAGTTGAAGCTGAGGATAATTAAAACAAGCTCACAAAAGCCCAAGTATAACCTTGAATATACCCCACCTAAACGTCAAGACCATCCATCTCAAGCCATCCCAAGAACAGATTTGACTCACGGAACACTAGTTACCGAAGACCAGACCCATCGAGGACATCATTCACAAAGAAAGCAAAAGGCCATTAAAAAGAAAGGAAAGACCAGACTCTGAGGAGTACTCTTTTTTTTTTTTTTAAGAGTACTCTTCAATGTAGACTAACAAAAGCAAATTTTAAAAGGCAGCTCGAGAGACAGAGTATTATAATGAAATGTACAAAGACCTGTATTAGCAAACCAAAATGAAAGGATATACTTGGCATTTCTCAAGCTGAAAAGAAATGAAGAAAAAATTCAAGCCACAAGGTGCAGTATTGAAAGAGTCTATTGGAATACTTAAAAGGGGTTCTACAGCTTGCCCAGTGAACCTTAGGTGGAATCCTGAGTCCCATCCAGAACTTTATGAGGTGAGACATCCCCAATAGAAAGGACAAGCAGACTGGAGCAGCTACAGTGACAGAAGATACATCTTCATGATGAACCTGACCTATACTCAGCGGTGGTTGTTGTTGTTAAAGTGCCCTCGAGTCAGTTCCGACCCATAACGGCCCTGAACAGGGTTTCTGAGGCTGTAAATCTTTTACAGGAGCAGAACGCCTCATCTTTCTCCGAAGCAGCTGGTAGTTTCTAACTGCTGACCTTGTGGTTCACAGCCCGATTCATAACCACTACGCTACAGAGGGA